CTAAGAAGAAAGTAAACCTACAGACATCGGTCTTGTTTAACAAAATATCTCTCTCTATATATATATTAAAGGACTTTCACATTTTTTTTCTTAAGAGTTTAGCTACTAGTGTTATCTCGGAAGATTTTATTTATATATTTTTCTTTTACCATCAATCCACTTGACTTAATTACTTATTATATTAAACCTATTAAATGCTTGCACACGGTCCCCCGGTGGAACAGCGGTAATTTTACTAATTTAGAACTCTAAACTCTGGGGTTCGATTCCCCGTGGTGGAATGGCCAATGTGACTTTGTTCTAAAACAAACAAGCTTGGCAATGGAAGACATTATTTTGAATATTGTTAGAATTCTTATTTGGAATTAATATTTTAAACTAGTTCCAATCACGTTATTTATACGAATTATTTTGTTTAATTAATAATGGTTGACAAAAATTTAAGTTTCTTTTAAGGAAAAATGTTTAAAACTTCTGTTATCGCAATTTCGTAAATTATGTATTGTAGCCTCTTATTTTTGGTGATATTGAATTATCTCAATCCGCTTTATGTAGGAAAGCCTCATATTTGACGACTTGTCTTATTAATCATGTTCCTTTTAATAATTAATTATGAATTTTTAACAAGAAGTGAACAGAAAAATTTAACCATTCTTTATCATAAATCCCTCACCAAGGGATGTTAATACTGGACTAAATTGTTGTCCTTCGTTACCTTGAGTTTGTATGCAGCTGTGTAACAGCTTTTGAAGGGTGATGTAACATAGGTATAAGTTAAAAAAGGCGTCTGTATTTCTTTCATTGTCAGAAAACTTAAGCACCATAGCCTTGCTGAAGTACCCTACTTTCTTTGTAAATCTTTACTATGAAAATTCTCTATCCAAGTATAGAAAATACATTTATGTAAGAATGAACAAAACAACAACAATTTCGAGCAGTTGTGAGTGTGGAGTAAGCACTGTGCAGTGGAAAAGAGCTCCTCTCCTGTAAACCAATGAAATAATCTGGTTTACGCAGGTTTGCTCTATTGGTGTGTTGTCCCTTGTGTCAGCGTGTCTACGTGCACCCATGTTTTTGTGCTTTTCCTTCTAAACACACAAATTTTATTCGTTTTGAAACCAGTTGCCATCCAAAACGATACTGTAAATGTCAACCATATGCGCGAGCGCCACCCCCTTGCTCATTCAAACCTTTATAAAACGCGATTTTCGAGTCATCCACAATCATTGAACACAGAGGTCTGTTGCGTTCATCACGCTGAAGTACTTTTTTGGGTTTATTAGGGAAAACCTTGGGTAGCTGCTGTAACTCCGTAACTAATCCCCAGTTCTCTTAGACTGTCCAAAGAATACCATTAAATATTAAAATAACGTTACTTTGTATTTATCAGAAACAATTCAAATAACAAGAAAAAGAAAGAAATAGAATGATGGCTCTAACATCATCTTTATTCTTCTTTACGTTGATCCTAACATCCAGCTTAGTTGCAAAAAATGCTGAAGCTCGTCCTAAATTCTGGGAGTCAGGCAATTATGCTCCAATTCTGAACGATGAATACAAGAGCGCACAGGTCAGTTCATCCTGTTTTATGCTTTACCTTCGGGGGGAATTAAAAGTTCAGATTTGTTAATGCTACTTAATATCAAAAGTGCTTTGACTGATAAAGGTATTAGCTTGTTACTTCCGCTGTAGTTTGAAAAATAAGTTACCATAACTTGAATAATTATTTGATATTCAGAAATTGTTTAATATAAATAATTTTTCTTTTAATATTAGGCTAGATTAAGTCATAATGACCAATAACTTTGCTAATCAGGACACTTTAATTTGGGTTTTGTTAGTGTAGGTAAAACTATATATATTTTCTAATCTACATATTATTGCTTGCGGTGAACTTCAGTTATTAGAGTCGCTATATAATAAATTTTGACTCATGCAGAAAAAATATACGTAGATGTACATATACATACACACACACATATATATATATACGCATTTAACGTTTTGTCTTAACAAACATGATGATATTCTAAGCTTCACGAAGTATTTCCACGACCTTGGTTTGATATTTGGTTTGGGTATATTCTAAGAATATATGTTACGTTACTTTTGTTGTACACATATCAGAGCGTTGTTTAAGGAAGTGCTAGTTATTACCAAAATAAGGATTATGTGCTTAAATTATTTTAGGCTCTCGCATTAATATATTTTTTAAAATCTTGAATAAGCAAATCACGGCAAAACTTGGAAGTTTTACTGTAGAAGAGAGAGAATGTTTGTTTGTTTGTTATTAAGCACAAAGGAACACAACAGGCTATCTGTGCTCTGTCCACTGCGGTTATCGAAACTCGAAATTTTCCCATTGAGAGAATAAGAACCAAATAAATATTTTCTAAGAAGAACTGAAACGTTGTTATGAAAATAGGCAAATTATTTGACTATTAAAAACTGTTAAAGATGCAGAAAGTTACAAGAAAATGTTTTTACTGTACTATTTAAACTGATGTTACAAAATGATTTGAACTGTAAATACAAATTACATGTTCAATGGGTATGTACATAAAAACATATAATCCTAAACTATAAATGCTGAATTTATTCCAAATATTTTGGAAATACTAGTTTCAATAGGGAGTTCTAACTAACATAACTACCCTTGATTAATCACACCACCTAATTAAAATAACAACAAACAAAAACGTTTACAGTTTTTGTTACTGTACTGGACTGAATGTGCTTCTGTTAGAGTAGACTAGAAATGAGTTAGTTAATTGGTATTTAAGCACTCAGTTATTAATGACCAATCATACATCGTTATCCCAAGACTACACGGCAGAACATTTATGGAAAATATTAATTATTTGATGCTTAATGTATTAAGATTTATACCAATGAACATTTTTTAGCAAGTGATGGGGTGAAGATCTACAAATAACGTGGAATGACAAACAACAAAACACTTTTGGAGCGCTTAGCGCTATAGGGCCCTACAAATCACAAATTTTGTTTCGAATCTAATCATCTCGAAATATTCAAATCAAATCGAATCGGCTATGCATATATAGATTATAGGGTATATAGGCTGAAATTAATTTTAAATCAAACAGAAAATGGTTTCTTTATTTATGTAGAGTGTTTCTACACACAGTTAGTAATGAGTATCAAAGTAAATAATTCTGAGAACAGAAGACAGAGTAAATCTTTCTAAAAACAACATATATAATGTACTTAAACATCTGGAAGAAGAATGGTACAAAATTTTTATTACAAAGAAATAGGTTCCAGTATATAGACTGAATTAAAATCTAAATTCTGAAGTTTATCAGAAGCGATGTAAATTCGAAAACATCGAATCGGAGCCCTAGCTAACGAATCAAATCCTCCATCCCGATTTGAAATCGAATCGAATCTCGAAGCTTCGCAGGGCTCCACTTAGCAAAATATGATCTCTTAGCAACCACGATGAAACTGGAAACGAAAAAAAAACAGTTAAGGACGCCTTAGCAGCTTCAGTGAAACTGGAAATAAAGACAAATTAGGATCTCTCAGCAACCACACTGAAACTGGAAACAAAAAACAATTTAGGACGCCTTAGCAACTTCAGTGAAATGGGAAATGAAAACAAATTAGGACGTCTTAGGAACCTCATTGAAACTTGAAATAAAAATAAGATAGGACGTCTGAGTAACAGTAGTAGAACTGGAAACCAAAACATTTTAGGACCTCTTAGCAAACAATTTGAAACTAGAGAGAAAAACAATTTTGGACCTTTTAGCAACCATGATAATTCTTTTTCTCATTGTTTTATTCAACTACAAGACTGTAAATTTCTAACTTAAAAAATTGTAAAATGGTGAAAGAAAAAGGTAATAAAAGTAGGTAAACACGTAAAAATTTAAAAATAATTAAGTTTTATGGAATATTGTTGGTGAACTGAACTACAGATGCCTTATCTTTTACTGCTAGTTTCAGAGCCTAATGACAAAAAGTCAAACAATCAAACAAAAGGACATTATTAAAAATTATCAAAGTGACGTCAACAATAAAATGTATATATATATATATATATATATATCTTTCTCCCAGTATTCGAGAAAGTTTCTTATATCCAAAATGAATTTTTGATAAAATGGTATAACATTTCGTCCAGGAGAATACAAAACTAATTTCTTGTCCTGGAGTATCTTTTTCATTTAAGAAATGGTTATAGTATTTTTGTGATATTTTATCATGACACAGGAGTTTAATTTAAAACGCCTTAAGTTAATAAAAAAGTAAAGTTTTAATTATAAAAAACACCTTTATAAATTACAAACTAAACAAATATCTTTACAATTTTGGTATTATAACCTTTCCTAATAACTTAATTGGCATCAAATATTTTACATTTTTCTTAAAAGTAATTTCCAACCATTTTCGCCTGCTCCAAATGAATTAAACTCTAGAAGTAGCCATAGATACTGTTACATTTTTAAAATCACGATAGTTTTGCGTTATAAAAAGGATGGTCTATAGTGATCGCGTGTCTAATCTATTATGCACACATAATAGATGTAGTTTAAATTCGATAACGAGGAACCCACTTTGAGACTATTAATGCTTGGAGACGGCTTGAATGGGTATAAAGAAAAATTTTAATATAATTTTAACATAATAGCAAATGTACAGCATTTCGACAAGGTACCTGCTGATGACCAAAACCTTGTCGAAACGTTGTCCATTTGCTGTTATGTTAAATGTATATTAAAGTTTTTCTCCATCACCCATTCAAGCCGTCTCCAAGCATTATAGATGTAGTTTATTTTTTAGATATATTATTTTGTGCAGGAATATCCTAAAGAGTGTATTTTGTGAGGTCTCAAGGAGAGATTTGCGGTCCTAGGAGTTTTGTCGGCCTAGACAGAAGACGCACTGGGCAAAATGTGTATGGTATAGGGTTTGTGAAGGCTAAGTAAATTACTCGACGCTAAAAAATAAGGTGGGCTACTTTACATTGTAAAACGTGTGCATTTATTCTTATGTGCAAAACACATTAATTTATTTTAGCTTTTAAATGTGAAATTTCCATTAAAAATCAAATATTTAGAACATTTAATGCACCAATTGCACAAAAACAAAAGATTATAATTTTTTTAATTTAAAAATTCTCGTTTTGGGTTTTTATTTAAACGAAATCTCGAGGAATATCTTTTAAGTCCAATGATACAGCGATATGATGCCCAAACGAAATTATAGAAAGACCAATTAAACGCTCGAGTCAATGTGGATCTCAAGGTTTATTTTATTTTTTTTCTAAATTTCGCCCCAAGCTGTCCATAATTTTGATTAGATGGACTAGAGAGAATACAACTGTTCATCTCCACCAGCTCTTTACAATGCAACAACAGCCTCAAAGTGCAAGGCACGGCGCTTTTTTCTTTCTTTCTTTTTTCTTCTCTGACAGTAACGGTAGGTGAACCTCAGAACCACAGTCCTGCATTTTAATCACTGGTTTGGTCTGGTTTCTAATCTCAGGTAAATTTTAATTAGTTTCAGTTTGAGAAGATTTGTTCTCCACTATAGCGTCCGTAAATGAGAATATCAGAACTTCCAGTGCAATATATATATATTTGGGAACAGACAAATGATTATGTTCTTTTCTAGATACTCTATTGCCTGAACTGTGGTCACTCCTGGTGGGATGGTTACTGACAATGCATTGAGTTCATCCCGTCACCGAACATGCTTCACTTTTCAGCCGCGGGGGCGTTATAACGTGACAGTCAATCCCACTATTCATTAGTAAAGAGTAGCCCAAGAGTTGAAGATAAGTGGTATTGGCTAGCTACCTTCCCTCTAGTCTATCACTTCAAAATTAGGGACAGTTACTGCAAGTAGCGCTCGAGTAGCTTTGCGCGAGATTCAATAAACAAACATATAAAAGCTTTAAGTTCAACACAGAGGTCCTGCGTGTTATCACTTCTGGATTAAGACTGTTAATCTGTAAGAGCAACGCCAAGATCAATGCAGTGCTTTCTGATCTTATCCGAGCTCTCATTTTATATTTTCAATATGTCATATAAACAGAAATATGTTATTGTGCTGTCATGACTGAGTGATTGGGTCTAACATGGCACGAAAAATACTCTTGGAATTAGTGCCAGAACTTTAGATTGAAATCAACTGTTCTTATCTTTCATATTTGCTCTGCTGTCTTCAGTATTTAGTCCTAATTCTGGAAGTTATCTTGTTTCATTGCCGACCTACACATGCTTAATTATTTCGCTACCATAAATTCTTTTTAATGGAATCTTTGTTATTTTTAATGAATCTTCCTTCCATTTACTGTGCTCAGCACCAGATAGATGATGTTTACTGTGTGGTATTTTGTGATAAACACTAATAAAGAACTTAATAGAATCCCTCAAAAAATAATAATCAAATCATCCAATCAGTTTGCACAACACCTAAGCATGGAATTTTTTTTTTATCTACATCAGTCTCTCCAATCTGTATATCAGACAGTAAGTTCTCATGGAATCATCTTTAGATTTAAAACCTTTTGGTAAGGGATGGAGAGGGGGGGATTAA